TATCAATTCCCAACTTGACTCTCACTGGGAATTAAACATGACAATAGGTCTGCTCTGATTTCATCATCATTTAAAAAAAAATCATCCTATTATTTTTCACTTTATGTTTCTGTGTGGGAGCAAACTGTTGAAATCCATACTTAATGTATACTAAGCTGATCTTCTGTATATTAAGATAATCGAAAATGAATCTTGATGTGAATGGAAGGGGAGAGGGAGTGGGAAAGGGGAGGGTTGTGGGTGGGAGGGACGGTATGGGGGGGAAGCCATTGTAATCCATAAGTCGTAATTTGGAAATTTATATGCATTAAATAAAAGTTTAAAAAAAAATCTCAATGTACAGCACACTAAGGACAAAGATCCTACATGAGGAGTAAGTGCACAGTGACTCCTGTTGTTGACTTAACAAATTGACACTCTTGTTTATGGCATTAGTAATCACCCTAGGCTCTTGTCATGAGCTGCCAAGGCTATGGAAGCCCCCTGAGTTCACTGACTCTGATCATATTTAGACAAGGCCATGGTCAAAGTGGAAGTTCTCTCCTCCCTTCAGAGAAAGGTACCTCCTTCTTTGATGACCCGTTCTTTCCACTGGGATCTCACTCGCGGAGATCTTTCATTTAGGTTTTTTTTTTTTTCTCCCAGAGTGTCTTGGCTTTCCATGCCTGAAATAGTCTCATGGGCTTTTCAGCTGGATCCACATGCCTTAAGGGCTGATTCTGAGGCCAGAGTGCTGTTTAGGACATCTGACATTCTATGGGTCTGCTGTGTATCTAACTTCCCATATTGGATCATTCTCTCCCTTTTTTATTCTATCAGCTAGTATTTGCAGACACTATTCTTGTTTATGTGATCCCTTTGCTTCTTAGTCCTATCATTATGATCAATTGTGAACAGAAATTGATCACCTGGACTAGTGAGATGGCATTGGTACATGCCACCTTGATGGGATTGAATTGGAATCCCCTGGTATGTTTCTAACTCTACCATTTGAGGTAAGTCAGCTTGCGCATGTCCCGAATTGCACATCTCTTCCCTCTCTTATTCCCACTCTTATATTTAACAGCAATCACAAAAATTTCAAACAACACGACATCCACTGTGTTAACCTGTTTTCTTTTTTTGGGAGAATATATAATCTAGTATAATAGGATGATATGAAGCAAGACAATACATGCAGTTACGCTGAGGGCATTTTGTTTCCAGGATTTGGGAAAGAAATTCATGAACTTGATGGTAGAGCACCTCCCTTGGGCTGTACGACTCTGGGCTAGGTAGGTTTGGAGCGAGCCCTTCGATGCAGTTAAGCCTCCGGAGCGCCAGAGGTCGCTGTGGCTCCGCGATGGGCGTGGGAACGCGACTCTGTGGTTATAAAGTTGGGGGCGGAGAAGCGGAGAGTTCCTGGGAAATGATGGCTGAGGAGGAGGAAGAAGTGAAGCACATCTTGCAGAAATTGCAGGTGGGGCCGTGGGTGAGACTGCATGTGCTCTGGGAGTCGGGGAGAGGCTGGGAGCCCGGCCGGTGCCGTGCCTGCGCGTTCCTCCTCGCTGGCCCGCCGCCGCCCGCGTCTGTGCGGTTACTATAACAACTCGCGGCGCGGCCGGAGCAGGGCCGCCGCCCCGGGGAGGGACCGCTGCGTTGCATTTCAGCTCTCCGACTCTGCCCTGCCCGGCCTTAGGGAGGAAGCGCCTTCCCTCCATTCCTCCTACGAGACAGCGTACGCACGTGCACGGCGGACCTGGAGGAGCTGTTACTACGTGTTCTTTTGATCTCCGCAGAGGCCGCTTCCTAATTTCTTTCTGCTTTGGAATGACCAAGAGTCACAGCACAGCCTGCACTGCGTGTATGCTGCTGACTTCCCTCCCCGCCTGGCGGTGTTGACTCTTGAACTTTGGGGTCCGAGGCAGAGGGGTCCGGATTCCATGTAGATCACGGGCGACTGTGCTTTAATTTTTTTTTTTCTGCGTTTAAAGATACATTACTTGTCATAGAATTTTAACGTAAGAAAAGGCTGCACTGAATAATAAAATAAGCCTGAATGTGCATAGAGCCTGACCTAAGGGATTCAGTAAAGCCAAAGTATTTGAACCGAGGCTGTAGCTTTGATTAGGCTGGGTCTTTCATACTAGGTAGGTAGGTGTTAACTAGTTGCTGCCTACCTTTCTTTTAGTAACTCATAATTTTCCCTAAACCTCAAACTCTGTGTTCCAAAACAGCCCGAGTTTAAACATGAACGTGCCTAAGCATCAGAAGTAATGTCCCTTGCCTAAAGGCGTCTAACGCAGAAGTTGAGCCTTGGTGAGACCTCATTTCATAAGCAGGTTGAAGTACTTGGAGCTGCGTTTAGTCCCGCGGTTAAGGCGCCTGCCTCCCTTGTTGGAGGACCTGGGTTTGATGCCTGGCTCTGGCTCCTGACTTCCGCTTCCCGCCGGTTCAGACCCTGGACCGCAGTGGGGACTGCTCAAGTACGATGTTACCTGCCACCCACGTGGGAGATCTCGCTTCCACATCTGGGGCGAGAACTAGCGAGGGGACCTCCCTGTCTCTTGAATAATTTTGAAAAAGTAACATTTTTAGAATTTCGACTTTACCTTCCAACTGACTGCGAACAACTTCATTTTATTTCCTATAGACTCTCAGCCTTGGCTATAATAAAATAAGGGACATGGCATGCTTTCTAATTTTCACACATACCTATTTAACTTTTAACAACTTTCATGTATGGATCTTGTCACGAGAGAAAAACATTCAGTCCAACAAACCAAACAACAATACTAATTTCTTGCGTGTTTGCTTTAATAACTAAAAGCAAACAATAAGCTCCCCTCTAACATTTCTAATTTGCAGCCATGCTGATTATAGATAGTAATTTTTGCTAAGAACCATCTTTAGCTGAATCCCTTTGTGGTAGATTCCTTTAGCAGCTTGGGAGAGAATACTTGACGTATCTTGGAATGCATGGGTAGGCACAGAAATGGAATAAGGGAGTGAAGTAAAGAAGAGGAAAAGGATTGGATAGTGATAGGGCTATTCATGGGAATGGTGCAAAGTTATTATTATTATTATTTTTTAAACAGGCAGAGTGGACAGTGAGAGACAGAAAAGTCTTCCTTTGCCATTGGTTCACCCTCCAATGGCCGCCGCGGCCGGCACCACGCTGATCCGCTGGCAGGAGCCAGGTGCTTCTCCAGGTCTCCCATGGGGTGCAGGGCCCAAGCACTTGGGCCATCCTCCACTGCACTCCCGGGCCACAGCAGAGAGCTGGCCTGGAAGAGGGGCCCATATGGGATGCCAGCACCACAGGTGGTGGTTTTACCCACTACGCCACAGCGCTGGCCCTGGTGGAAAGTTTTAATTTCATTGTTGTAGATTTTTAGGGTAGACAGAATCTATAAAAGGATATTTCTCAAAGCGTTTTCAAATGATTTATTTTCATTTTATTTGAAAGAGATACAGAGAGATCTTCCATCTGCTGGTTCACAACCCAAATGCCTACAGCGGTCAGTATTGGGCCAGGCCAAAGCCAGGAGCTCAGAACTCTATCCAGGCTTCCTGATCTTCTGTGTGGTGGCAGGGATCCAAGTACTTGGTCCATCATCTGATGCCTCCCAGGGGTGTGTATCATCAGGAAGCTGGATTGGAAGCAGAGTAGCCAAGACTTGAACCAGGCACTGTAGTATGAGATGCAGGTGTTCCAAGTGGCAGCCTAACTGTTGTGCCAAATGCCTGCCCCTCAAAATGTGTTTTACAGACCATTTTCTTTACAGTCATCTGAATGCTTGTTAAAGCTGTCGAATTTTGAGTTCTGCTAGACTGTTAAAATCAGAACCTGTACAAGCTGGGTCCTGGAAATACTGCAAACAATAAAATTTGAAAAGCACCACTGCAGAGTTCTAGTCCATTCTCGTCATTCTTGGTAAGATTTTAACTAAGTATAGCAGAGCTGTATTTGTTAGAGATGGGACTGATTCATTCATTCATTCAGTCAATAAATTTAATGATAGCCTGTCTTGTCCTAAGCGCTGTTCTAGGACTCAGGTATAGTTGTAAACAAAATAGATAAAGCCCCTTCCATCATGGGAACTTGCATTTGCCTGGAGGACAGTTAATAAGTAGGGCAAATAATTCCAAATGATAGGTACTAGGAAGAAAAATAGAGTGCGATTTAATAGTTGGGGAGAGGAGGAACAGGTTGCTTCCGTTTGGGTAGTTATGGAAAGCCTCTCTGAGAAGTTGGTATTTGTGCTAAAATCTAAGCAGTGATGAGGAACAGTCAAGCAAAGATCTGGGGGAAGAACATCCACGCGTAGAGAAAAGTATGTGTAAAGACCTCGCGTAGGGATTGGTTAAGCTTGATGGGCTTAAGGACCTGAATGATAGCATGTGTGGTTTGGGTATCGCAGCACGGAGAATGGTACGGAGTGAAGTCTGGGGGGGCAGTGTAGCAGTTACAGTTCCACTTGGGATGCCCACATCCCATATCAAAGTGCTTGGGTTCAAGTCCAGCTCCCCTTCTGATTCCAGTTTCCTGCTCCTGTCATCCTGGGAGGCAGCAGGTGATGGCTCAAGTACCTGAGTCTCTGCCGTGCATGTGGGAGACCTGGACTGAGTTCTTGCATCCAGGCTTTGGCTTAGACTTGCCCTGGCTGTTGTGGACATTTGGGAAGTGAACCAGCAGATAGAAGATCTCTGCTTGTCTCTGTCTCTTTCTTTCTGTCTCTCTGCATTTTAAATAAGAAAAATTTTAAGAAAGAAGTGAAATTTTTGATCAGATCATGCAGTTTTGTAGGTCATGGGAAAGAGTTGGATTTTATTCTATCTGCAATGGGAAATTATCAGGGTTTGTGGTATGATATATACTTGTATCAGATCATTGCAGCTACAGTGAGGAGAATGAGAAAGTAGAGTCAAGCTCACCAGTTAAATCATTGCGATAGTCCAGGCAGATAATAATGTCCAGAATAGTCATAGCGAGGTGGAGACAGGAGGATGAATTTTGGATGTGCTGTGGAGGTAACTGAGAAGACTTGATGGGATTGTATTACGTGTTTCTGTTGCTGTTCAGTTTCAGGAAAAGCATGGCCTGGTATCAAAGGTAGACTCAAAGGTGTTTAACAAAGGAAAGAGAACATTTTCTTTTTTTCTTTTTCTTTTTTAATTTTTTGACAGGCAGAGTGGCCAGTGAGAGAGAGAGACAGAGAGAAAGGTCTTCCTTTGCTGTTCGTTCACCCTCCAATGGCCTCCGCGGCAGGCGCACCGCACTGATCCGATGGCAGGAGCCAGGTGCTTATCCTGGTCTCCCATGGGGTGCAGGGTCCAAGCACCTGGGCCATCCTCCACTGTACTCCCTGGCCACAGCAGAGAGCTGGCCTGGAAGGGGGCAACCGGGACAGAATCCGGTGCCCCGACCGGGACTAGAACCCGGTGTGCTGGCGCCGCAAGGTGGAGGATTAGCCTAGTGAGCCGCAGCGCCAGCCTGAGAATATTTTTTTTTTTTTGACAGGCAGAGTGGACAGTGAGAGAGAGAGAGACAGAGAGAAAGGTCTTCCTTTGCCGTTGGTTCAACCTCCAATGGCCGCCGCGGCTGGTGCGCTGCGGCCGGTGCACTGCACTGATCCGATGGCAGGAGCCGGGTACTTCTCCTGGTCTCCCATGGGGTGCAGGGCCCAAGCACCTGGGCCATCCTCCACTGCACTCCCTGGCCACAGCAGAGAGCTGGCCTGGAAGAGGGGCAACCGGGACAGAATCTGGCGCCCCGACCGGGACTAGAACCCGGTGTGCCGGCGCTGCAAGGTGGAGGATTAGCCTAGTGAGCCGCGGCGCCAGCGAGAACATTTTCTTAAAAAATTTTCAAGAGAGCCAGAACATGACGATAAAAGAATTAAAGAAGACACAACAGGCATTTTAAGAAACAAAATTCTGCAAAAACACCAGGGTCACCAAATTAAAATTGGCCTGTTTGTGGTGGAAAACAACTTTCTTACATGTTTATCATATTTACAAAAATGAGGTATTTTCAGATACTGACATAGGGAAAATTAAGGATAAAATTGTTTTTTGTTAGGAAGTGTGTTTTAAAGGTAATTTTAAAGTTTTATTCTCCAAGGACCAGAGCCAGATAGAGTGGTCTTGTTAACTTTCAGCTTAATTCAAGTTGCAAAGCATTTCCCTCCTGTCTGGTGTGTGAAGCGCTCAGTCCTATTGGAAGCCTTACTAGGGTTGGAAGAGAACTGTCATTTTGTCAGTTCAGTGCAGAGACTGGCATGGGACAACTACAGATCATGAGAGTGGGCATGGGACACTGGCTGCTTTTCCTTATGATCTGTGACATTTTGATACACTTGTCTACCTATCTATTGTGCTATTCCTAGGTGACATAAAAGAATCAGTATGTTTTTAACATTTTTAGTTACTTGTTCTTATTTGTTTAAAAGGCAGAGAGACAGAGGTAGACCAACTGAGATCGTCCATCCTCTGGTTCACTCCCCAAATGCTTGCAATAGCCAAGACTGGGCCAGGCTGCAGCACGGAGCTTGGAATTCAGTCTGGGTTTCTACATGGTGTCAGGGACCTAAGGAGTTTGGAACTCAATCTGGGTTACCATGTTGGCGTCAGGGATTCAAGTACTTGAGGAATCACCTGCTGCTTCCGAGGGTGCACATTAACAGGGAGTGGAGCTGGGACCCAAATCCAGGCACTCCCATATGTGGTGTCTTAACTGTCGTTCCAAGTGCCCTCCAATAGTCAGCGTTTCCTGGCCAAGAGTTGGCTGACTTCTAGTTTGCTTGTCTGCTGCTCTCTCCTCTTAATGGTACCATCCTTACATTTCCTAGGAACTGGTGGATCAGCTCTATTCGTTTCGAGACTGCTATTTTGAGACACACAGTGTTGAGAATGCTGGGCAGAAGCAGCAGGATGTGCGGGAAGAGATGGAGAAGACCCTGCAGCAGATGGAGCAAGTAGTAGGTGGGAGTCCTGAGGAGTGCAACCCTCTGCCCTTCACTGAAATGCGACAGAGTTTTGCTCTTTCTCTGCAGTCTCTTTGGTGTCCTGTTTGTGTTTGTTGTGGGTTGGCAGAAGAGAATATTTCTCCCCCTATGCCGTTGGTAACCTTTCATTCCCTAAGCTACTTTCCTAGATTACAGTAAATGACATGAAATAAAATAGCATAGTTGTTGCTTGAAGTATTGGAACAGTCTTAACTGATCTTTCCTTCTGTCTCTAATTTCTCTTATTTCCATATCAACTTATCACGACGGTGGCTATAGTTATCTTTCTAAATCATTACTTCATGCATGTAATCTTATGCACCTGTCTGCCTCTCTATTCAAGTAGCTTTAAACTAACTCCCTAACCCTGGTTTTCAAATCTTCATTTTCTCACTCTTTTTGTTTCTTTCTTTTTTTTTAAAGATTTATTTTTCTTATTTGAAAGAGTTACATAGAGAGAGGTATAGACAGAGAGGGGGAGAGGTCTTCTATCTGCTGGTTCACTCCCCAAATGGCTGCAATGGCTGGAGCTGAGCTGATCCAAAAGCAGGAGTCAGGGCCGATCTGAAGTCAGGAGCCAGGAGCTTCTTCTGGGTCTCCTACGTGGGTGCAGGGGCCCAAGGACTTGGGTCATCCTCTGCTGCTTTCCTAGATGCATTAGCAAGGAGTGGATCGGAAGTGGGGCATCTGGGACTTGAACCGGTGCCCATATGGGATGCTGGCACTGCAGGTCGGGGCTTTAACCTGTTGTACCACAGCGCTGGCCCCTTTCACTCTTTTTTTTCTAACCTCATCTCTGACTACTTATACAGGAATTTGTTTTGTCCAGGTTGCACCATTCTGCCATGAGCATGCTCGTGTATTTTTGCTTCTCTGTCTTTGCTTATATTTCATAACCTGGAGGGTCTTGTCTTTTCTTGACTCTTTGAAGCCCATTTGTTGGGTATATGTCATGCCTACTTTCATGTTTTTTTTTTTAGTGTTCCATGTATGTGTTTTGTCATTATCAGATTGTCAGCCCCTCTAGGGTAGAAATAGTGGTATCATTGTTACCCAGTTACCTAACATTCTGCTTATTGCAGGCTTTATAAATAGTTTCTTGATAAGGATTTTCTTTAACTCTTCTCATTCCTAGAGCTGGCATGCAGCTAATCATTCCTTGAAAGTGCCCTGCTCTTTCGGAATGCTTTTCTTTTTCGCCCACTGTTCTTTTCTGCTTTCACTTTTCTTTTTTCCCTTCTTCCTAGGTTCTGCTCAGGGCAAGGCACAGGCTCTGATGCTCACCGGGAAGGCACTGAACGTGACTCCTGACTACAGCCCGAAGGCGGAGGAGCTCCTCTCAAAGGCCGTGAAGCTGGAGCCTGAGCTGGTGGAAGCCTGGAACCAGCTGGGCGAGGTGTACTGGAAGAAGGGGGACATCGCAGCTGCCCACACCTGCTTCTCAGGAGCCCTCACCCACGTGAGCCGCCCACTGCTGCCTCAGGAAGCTCAGATGGGAAGAATGTGCATTTCCCAAGGACAGAAATACCAGATTAGGACTGGCTTTGAACTAGGATCACAGAGAAAGGAGAAAGGGTGGGGAGCAATCCTGGTTGAGGAAAATGGGTACAGGGAACGGAGAAGAGAAGAGCTTGAGGGGGTCCAGATCAGGACTACATGAGGAGTAGAGAAAGGTTAGCACCCGAGCTGAGTCTCGTGGGCGTGAGTGCAAGTTGCCTGTGACCCCAAGAATGAAGGTCAAAGGTTCAGGAGAAGATTGAGGTCAGAACAGATCTGGAACGGGGAGACAGGATCAGCGAGGTTGAGGATGTGTCTTCTCCATTTGCAGTGCAAGAACAAAGTCTCCCTGCAAAACCTGTCAATGGTGCTGCGCCAGCTGCGGACTGACAGTGGAGATGAACACTCTCGCCATGTCATGGACAGTGTCCGGCAGGCCAAGTTGGCTGTGCAGATGGACGTCCTGGATGGCCGCTCCTGGTGTGAGTGCTCTCAAAGGCTGTCCAGCAGGTGTCTAGAGTAGTGGTTCTCAAGCGTGGCTACACAGCAGGGTCATCTAGGGCCCATCTGTTGAGACTGACTCTGAGGGTGAAGGCAGGGCATTTTTGTGTTTCAAAGAAGCCCAAAAGGTATTCTGTATGAACTGCTGTTCTTAAAACATTTGGATCTTTGATCCAAGAGAGGAAACTCAGGTCTCCACATAAGTAAGGTAGTGTTTTTATACAGTCTAAGTTTCTCTTTGGAATCTATATTTGTCTGTTTTTTCCAGTAGAATTTTGGGTTTATTAAATTTAATGTCGTCTCTGGTTTGGGTGAGATGTGGGTTTTTTTTAAGAGACTTTCAAGAATGAACAAAGTAAGTTGTATCATGGATTTGGGTATTGACCTGATTCACCACTGTTTTCTCTTTCAGATATTCTAGGAAATGCGTACCTTTCTCTTTACTTCAATACTGGCCAGAACCCCAAGATCTCCCAGCAAGCCCTCAGTGCCTATGCCCAAGCAGTAAGTACTCGGGTCATCCAGGCCCGATGAATAGAGACACCGCAGAAGCAAGAGCATTGTTCAGTCTTCCTTTGGTTCTTTATTGAGTAGCCTGGGTTGTGTTTGCTGGCATCCAGGGGGTGTGGCTTTGCGAAGCTGTGTCTGCAGAGGTGTCTTCTCTCATCTTGTAACTTGAGTGTGAGGGACTCCTGCAGTGTGGTACCCTAGTGTCAGCGTCCTGAGCCGTCTAGATTTCTTACAGGCATGTGTAACCAGAGCACACAGCCTGCTTCAGCATGTTTATGTTTTCTAATGGGGAAACGAAACCTATTAAAATCGTCCTTATTAATATTTATATACATTCATTTTAAAGAAAAATGGAAACTTAATGATAGTGACATCCTCAAATGAACCGGTGAATAGTATGACTCTGAATTTTCCCCAGGTTAAAAGAGAAAACAGGGTATAACCTGTCTGGTGTCATTTTCAAGAAATGAATTCGCTGGAGCTCAGCTTTGCTTAGTCCTCCAGGTCATTTTTCTGTTCATACGCACTTGCATGGGTGGTTCCTTCAGGCTTGTGCTGCTTACTCCTTGTTAGAAGGCCCACGTTGGTCTTCTGAGCACATTCACCTTTCTTCTTTCACATTCTTGTTTCCCTTGACAAAGAGAATTGCTTTTTAACTTATCATTGCTTATTTTGCTCTATGTGGCAGAATGAAGAGTACGACTCCTAGATACTCATGTTTGCGATCCTTGGACTGTTCTTTTTCTAATCAGGGAATGTTTAGGCAGAGGGATTATGTTTTGCTATGATTTTTTAACCTGGTAAATGTTTACATTTTAAAGAATAATCTGATATATTTCTTCAAAGTTCTGTATTTGACTTCTGAATAGCTGCTTTATTTTTAAAGATTTATTTATTTATTTATTTGAGAGGCAGAATTAGAGAGAGAGAGAGAGACAGAGTGAGGTCTTCTATCCACTGGTTCACTCCCTAAATGGCTGCAACAGCTGGAGTTGGGCCTGTCCAAAGCCAGGAGCCAGGAGCCAGGAGCTTCTTCTAGGTCTCGCACTTGGTCACAGGGACCCAAGCACTTGGGCCATCTTCTATTGCTTTCCCAGGCCATCATCAGGGAACTGGAGCTGCTGGGACTCGAACCAGTGCCCATATGGGATGCCAGCGCTGCAGGTGGATGCTTAACCTACTATGCCACAGCATCAGCCCCTGAATAGTTGCTTTTAACTCTTAATTTCTTCACTCTAACTGCATTAAAAATTATTTATTTATTTGAGAAGAGCGAGAGACAGACAGACTTACAGAGACCGAGCAAAAAGGCTGTGGCTGGTTCAGACTGGAACTGGGAACTGGGAACACAATCCAGGTCCCCCATGTGTGTGGCATGTACTTGAGCTACTTGAGCCATTATCTGATGCCTCCCAGGCTGCACATTAGCAGGAAGCTGGAACTGGGAGCAGAGCGAGGACTCAAACTTAGGCGCTCTGATACGGGATGCCAGCATTCCAACTGGCATAGTAACTGTGAGGCCAAATGCCTGCCCTCAACAGCATTTTAAGCATATCCGAGCCAACCATTTAAACAATTTAATTCATGTTATTTGTGCTTTGCAATGTGCCAGAAAATGAGTAGAATTTAAAAAATGAACATCATGAACGTAGGCAGCAGTTTCTTCACAGCCCATTTGTGCTGTTCTGCAGTTTCTGGCCATCTGTGTTGATTAGAGAATCGAGTTTGACTCTCCATGTGTTCTTTTTTTTTTTTTTTTTTTTTTTTTTTTTTAAAGAAAGACAAAGACAGGGATTGAAAGTAGGAGGGATGTGTATTTTTAACTTGTTTTTTTTTTTTTTTTTTGTTTGTTTGTTTGTTTGTTTTTGACAGAGTAGACAGAGAGAGACAGAGAGAAAGGTCTTCCTTTGCCGGTGGTTCACCCTCCAATGGCCGCCGCGGCCGGTGCGCTGTGGCCGGCGCACCGCGCTGATCCGATGGCAGGAGCCAGGTACTTCTCCTGGTCTCCCATGGGGTGCAGGGCCCAAGGACTTGGGCCATCCTCCACTGCACTCCCTGGCCACAGCAGAGAGCTGGCCTGGAAGAGGGGCAACTGGGACAGAATCTGGCACCCCGACCGGGACTAGAACCAGGTGTGCTGGTGCCGCAAGGTGGAGGATTAGCCTAGTGAGCTGCGGCGCCGGCCTCTCCATGTGTTCTTTAATGGGGCTTGCCTTTAGAAATAGGACTATTGGGCCAGTATAGTGGTATTATGCATAAAGCTGCTGCCTGCCATGCCGGCATCCCTATAGATGTCAATTCCAGACCTAGCTGTTCCACTTCCCATCCAGCTCCCTGCTGGTGTGCCTGGGAAAGCAGCAAAGGATGGCCCAATTTCTTGGGCCCCTGTACTTTGGCATATCTGGCTTTGACCTGGCCCTGCCCTAGTCATTACAGCCATTTGGAGAATGAACCAGTGGATGGAAGATCTCTTTGTCTCTCTCTCTTTCTGTAACTCTCCCTTTCAAATAGATAAATAATCTTAAAATATATATATGTTTCTGTATTTGCTTGGAGCCAGACTCCTTGACGAGAGAAGATGCATTAAATTGACATCATAGTCCTGTACTTTTCTCATTTATACCAGCATGTCACTGTTCAATTTTTTTATCATAATGCTTTCATGTTTTTGTTCTTTTCCTTGCTATATAATATTCTGTGGATAAATTATGATATTTTAACATTTCACACATACAAAAACCTTTCTATCCCTGAGGTCTCAGATAGGTACTAATACACACATTGGGCAAATAGTTACCCTATAACAGTGTGGGTATAGGTCATATTTTGACAAAGAAGAAACTTAAATTTCTTTATGAGGAGCAGGCATTATGGTGTAGTGGGTTGAGCCGCTACTCATGTGATACCTTCATCATGTGTCAGAGTCTGAGCTGCTCCATTTCTGACCCAACTCCCTGCTAATGTGCCTGGAAGATAACAGATGATGGTTTAAGCATGTGGGTTCCTACCACTCACGTCAGAGACCTGAATGGAGTTCCTGGTTCCAGGATTTGGCATGGCCCAGCCCCAGCTGTTTTGGGTGCCTGAGGAGTGGGCCAGTGGATGGAAGATCTCTCTCTCTCTCTCTGGTTGGCTGTCTCTCTCTCTCTTTCTCTCTCTGTCACTCTGCCTTCAAATGAATAAATAACTCGTAAAAACAATTTTTTTTCAGGGAGAGGAGGCCTGGGACATGTTGGATAAAGCCATCTTTAAGATTGAGACAGGGTCCACTGATGATCCTTTATCCCTTTACAGGAGAAGGTGGACAGGAAAGCGTCAAGCAATCCTGACCTTCATCTGAACAGAGCGACGGTAAGGCCTGTGGGCTTGTGATCATCTGAAGGCCAGATAAGAAAGACTTCTCTGTCTTAGCCAGTGAAGGTAACTGAGCATCCATAGGGACACTGTTGAGCACCAACCGAAAGGGAAACCAAGTTATTTCTAGGGAGAGCCAAGTTAGTTTGACTTTAGTATCTGCGGAGTCACTGGAGAGAACAGAGAAGGGGCTGAGGAAATCGGAGAATGTGGGGGGGGGGGGGTGAGAATGGGAAGAACAGGTTACAAGACTTTGGAAATGTCCAGTGTAAACACAAAATTAAAGTGACCCAAAGTATGAGACCTAACTAGTTTAGTATCTGGAAATTAGCTTCTTTGAAATGATTCCATCTTTGTTGTCATCACGTTGGCAAGAAAAAAGGATGTAAGGTGTCACCGGCTTCCCAGGCTGTTCACAGTAGCACAGGAAAATAGCTGGGAAGAACAAGCTCATTTTTCTAGATCCCTAGTTCACTGTGCCGTTACTCCTGCAGCATAGCTTGTTTGGATATGCTTACGATTGGAAGGTTTTTGGTTGCTTCTTGTCCAGCTACATAAATATGAAGAGAGTTATGGGGAGGCCCTGGAGGGCTTCTCTCAGGCTGCAGCACTGGACCCTGCCTGGCCAGAACCACGGCAGCGAGAACAGCAGCTCGTGGAATTCCTGGATAGACTAACCAGTCTCCTGGAGAGCAAGGTAGAGGGGTGTGTGTGTGTGTGTGTGTGTGTACATATATGTAAAGATTTATTTATTTGTTTGAAAGACAGAAGCTCTGTAAACTACAGAAAGAGAAACACAGATTTTCCATCAGCTGGTTCACTCCCCAGATGGCCTCAATGGCTAGAGCTTGGCCAGTGAAAGCTAGGAGCCTGGAGCTCCCTCTGAGTCTCCCACCTGGGTGGCAGAGGCCCAAGCACTCAGACCATCTTCTGCCTTTGCAGGTGCATTAGTAGGGAGCTAGATAGGAAGAGGAACAGCCAGGACTCAAACCAGTGTTCACACAGGATACCAGTGTTGTAGGTGTGTCGTACAGCGTGTCATATGGCACTGGCCATAAAGATGTATAAAGGGTAGAATCCAACTCTTAATGCTGCCAGTGGTCAATGAAAATAAGAATAGAGTAGGTTTAGGTGGTGATGGAGCTGGCGGAGGGCGGGGAAGGCCCAGACTCTCAAGCAGAGTGACTAGTTTCCAGCCTGTTAATGTGTTTTCCCTTCTTTTGCAGGGAAAAGTGAAGAACAAAAAGCTGCAGGGCATGCTGGGAAGTTTGCGCCCTGCCCATCTAGGCCCTTGTGGCAATGGGCGCTATCAGTCAGCCTCTGGGCAGAAGGTGACCCTGGAGCTGAAGCCCCTGAGTGCGCTGCAGCCTGGTGTGAACAATGGGGCCGTGGTCCTGGGGAAGGTGGTGTTCAGCCTTACCACAGAGGAGAAAGTCCCCTTGTGAGTTTCTCCACCGTGCCTCTTTTTCACTCTTCTGAATAATTGCTGTCACTCTGCTGGCCTTTCTCTGCCAGTTGAAGACTTTTTGTTGGTGGTCATAGATCAGTGATTCTGGTTGACTTCTGTGACTGTCTTAATAACAAGGTTGTCTAAGAGATCTCTTGGTCAGAGGTCTTTGTAGATTTTCACTGCTCATTTTTTCTTCTGAGTTTAGTGCTTTGTGGGTTCCTACATCTAATAGCTGAAATTTGATTTTTTTTTTTAAGATTTATTTATTTATTTGAAAGGCAGAGTTACAAAGAGGCAGAGGCAGGAGCAGAGAGAGAGAGTGAGAGAGAGAGAGAGAGGTCTTCCATCTGCTGGTTTATTCCCCAAATGGCCAGAGCTGCACCGATCCGAAATTAGGAGACAGCAGCTTCTTTCAGGTCTCCCATGTGACTGCAGGGGCCCAAGCATTTGGGCCATATTCTGCTGCTTTTCCAGGCACATTAGCAGGGAGCTGGATCAGAAGTGGAGCAGCTGGGACTCAAACTGGCACCCATATGGGATGCTGGTACTGCAGGTGACAGCTTTTACCCACTACACCACAGCGCCCAACTGTGATAGATATTTTTTTATAAGACAGAAACCTTGAAAATCTGCCCTTGTGTTTTCATGATTATAGATATTGAAGGAAGGGAAATTCTCAGTCCTGTTTGGATTTAGGTTGGCTAAAGCAATTCTGGAAGGTGAGTTTTGAGTTAGAATTCAAGTCTGGTTGGGGAGATTGTCTCAGGTATGATGCAACAAATATTTATTGAGTGTTTAGTGTATGTGTTAAAGGAAGTGAGGATAAAAAGGTGAAGGGTGCTTACAGTCCAGCAGAGGATAAATTAAGGGTATTCACACAGGGGCCAACATTTTGGTGTAGTGGGTAAAGCTACCACCTGCGACACAGGCATCACGTTTGGGCACTGGTTTGTATCCCAGCTGTTCCACTTCTGATCCAGTTCCCTGCTAATGGCCTAGGGAAAGCAGCAGAAGATGCCCAAAGTCCTTGGGCCCCTGCCACCCTTGTGGGAGACCTGGAATGAAGCTCTCTCTGTAACTCTTTCAAATAAATAAATACATATTAAAAATATTCATATAGAACATTTAAAAAATTTTTAAAGAGATTTATTTTATTTATTTGAAATGTAGAATTACACAGAGAGGAGGAGAGAGAGAAAGAAAGAGAGCTTCTGTCTGCTGGTTCACTCACAAATGGCTGCAATGGTCAGGTCTGGGCCAGGTTAAAGCCAGGAGGCAGGAGCCTCATTCTGGTATCCCATGTAGTTGCAGGGGCCCAAACACTTGGACCATCCTCCACTGCTTTTTTTTTTTTTTTTAAGATTTATTTATTTATTTGAAAGTCAGAGTTACACAGAGAAGGTGAGGCAGAGGGAGGGAGAGAGAGAGAGAGAAAGAGAGAGAGGGAGGGAGGGAAGGCTTCTATCCGCTGGTTCACTCCCCAGTTGGCTTCATCAGCTGGAGTTGTGCCGATCCGAAGCCAGGAGCTTCTTCCAGGTCTCCCACGCAGGCGCAGGGCCCAAGGAGTTAGGCCATCTTCTCCTGCTTCCCCAGGCCACAGCAGAGAGATGGATCAGAAGTGGAGTAGCCAGGTCTCAAACCAGCCTCCCTGTGGGATGCTGGCACTGCAGGCGGCAGCCTCACCCGCCACACCAAAGCGCCGGCCTCCATCCTCCACCGCTTTCCCAAGCACATTAGAAGGGAGCAGGATTGGAAGTGAAGTAGCTGGGACTCAAACCGGTGTCCATGTGGGATGCTGGTGTCTCCGGCAGCATCCTTACCCACTATGCTACAACACCAGCCCCAAAACACTTTTATTCTTGAAAAATTAGGGTTTAGTGAGTACCATCACTCTGGTCCCTCTGTCACTTCCTCATTCCTGGTTGACTGGTTTCCTCCCCCGTGAAGCTCTTGTTACCTAGGCTCCCAGCGTCTCTAGGCACTCGGGTGGGTGGCGTCCGCTGCAGGGCTCCTCAGCACTCTGACCTTTCACACCCCTTCTCTCCATCCAGACTGAAGTGCAATCCTCATCCTTTGCCTCTACTTTCACACAGAGAGGTCTGGGTATTTGATGAGTTGAAGAGCGAGAAATGAGAGAAGTTTAGTTGACTAAAGCAGATCCTAGAGGGAGGAGGAATAAAAAGGGGCAAAGATGATGCAGGTTTTAGGGGACCTTGGGAGCAAATGACTGTCAGACCACTCCTTAGTTCCTCTTCTGCCCGACTCCACATGCTGGTTTCCTAGGACTCTGTTCCTTTCCTCTTTATTCTGGGGTAGTACAAATGAGGAGTTTTCAGAAAGTTCATAGAAAATGTACATTATAAGAAGCATAAAATTAGAAATATTTTTGTACTCAAAGAAACTTACCTATTTAAAAAAAGCTTATTTTATTTATTTGAAAGGGAGAGGGAGAGAGGGATATGTAGAGAGAGGGAAATCTTCCATCTGCTGGGTCACTCCCCACATGCCTGCAACCGCTTGAGCTGGGCTAGCCAAAGCTGGGAGCCAGGAACGCAACCCCAGCCCCCTGTGGGGGTGTACGTGAGTCATCACTACTACTCCAAGGGTGCACACTAGCGGGAAGCTGGGATCAAGAGTGGAGCTGAGACTTGAACATAGACTTTAGTACAGAAGGCAGGCATCCCCGGTGACATCTTAACTGTTGGCACCAAGGGTGTGCCCCCAAAATTTATATCTTAATTTAACTTTACTATAGACTATTTAGAAGCATCCTCCATTAAATTTTTTAAAAATTCATTTTCATTTTATTTGAGAGGCAGATGTCTTTCATCTGCTAGTTTACTCCCCAAATGCCTGCAATAGACTGGGGCAGGCTGAAGCAGGGAGCCCAGAACTTCACGTGGATCTCCCTCATTGATGGCAAGGTCCCACAAACTGTGCCATCATCGGTTGCCTTCCTGGACGTGCATTTGCAGGAAGCTGGATTGTAAGTGCAGGAGCTGGATGTTATACCAAGCACTCCAGTAGGGATTGCTAGCATCCCAAGTGGTGACATAACCCCTGTGCCAAATACCTGCCCCTCCACAGCCCTTTAAAAAAAAGATTTATTTTATTTTTTTTTTGAATGGCAGAGTTACAGAGAGAGGGAAGGAAAGAGAGAGGGGGAAATTTCCAATCCTCTGGTTTACTCTCTAAATGACCTCAATGGCCAGGAGTGGGGCAGGCTGAAGCCAGGGGCCTGAAACTCCATCAGAGTTCCAGGCAGGTGGCAGAGTCCGAGGACTTGGGCCATATTCTGCCAGTTTCCCAGGTGCATTAGGAAGGACCTGGAAAAGAAGTGGAGCAGCCAGGACTTGAACCAGTGCTCCAATATGGGATGCTGGCCATGAAATGCAGTGATTTAACCTGCTGTGCCACATCACCAGATCCAAGTTTTGGATCCTTATATCCAACTGCCTCCATGCTCTGATCAGAAATCTCCAGTTCAGTCTGTTCAGTCTATTACTTACCTGATCTTTCTTTTTAAACTTACTTCTCCTTCCTGGATTCCTTATCAGTGAGTGGTACTCTCTCTCTACTCAGTCAGTTAAGACTTTGGGAAATAATCCTAAACTCCATTCTCCTGTGTTGAGGTAGTCACTAGGTCCTGTGGATTTGCCTTTTTGTTCCTATTTCTCAGATTCTACTACCTTAATTTGTCACTTTTTAAAACATATCTCCAATATTTTTTCTTCAGTGTTCTACAATGCTGCCAGAGAAATATTTTCTCAGATGTAAATTTTTTTTTAAGACTTTATTTATTTACTGGAGAGGTAGAGCTACAGAGAGTGAGAGGGAGAGACAGAGAGAAAGGTTTTTCATCTGCTGGTTCACTCCCCAAATGGCTGCAGTGGCCAGAGCTGTGCCAATCTGAAGCCAGGAGCCTGTAGCTTCTTCCAGGTCTCCCACAAGGGTGCAGGGGCCCGAGCATTTGGGCCATCTTCTACTGCTTTCCCAGGCACATTAGCAGAGAGCTGGATCAGAAGTGGAGCAGCCCGGACTAGAACCAGTGTCCATAAGGGATGCTGGTGCAACAGGCAGAGGATTATCCTACTGTGCCACAGTGCTGGCTCCATCAGCTACAATCTGACCATTGCCACCACTTATATAAAATACTATATTGGTGCTATAGCGTTTGTAATGAAGTTTGAAATCCTTATCTTAGTTTAAGGAGTTTATGATTTGCTCCCTGCCACTCTTTCTGTTTCCTGCTGTGCCTGTTGCTGTAACCGTGGAACTATTTGTAGGTTTTAGAACAGCTATTTTCATGCCTGTGTTTCTTACACAGTTACTCTGCCAGACAATCTTCCAGCTTAATATAGCTGATTTCTTCCTGCTGATGTTTTATTATAAAAATGCTCAAACATATAGCAAAGTTGAGTGAATTTTGCTGTGGACATCTGTGTGCTCACCACCTATAATCTACCATTAACATTTGTTGTACCTACCACATGCCTGTTTGTCTTGCTATTCATCCATTGATTAGTCTTATTTTTGGTGTGTTTTGGAGTAAATTATATTTTTATTTTCATTCAAATATTCAGCATGCAATCATTAACTGAGTTCAATATTTGTTTATAACTTATTTTTATGTAACTGTTATATACAGTGCAATTTACAAATGTAAGTGTACATTTACTAAGTTTTGATGAATGCGTACACCTGTGTAACCCAAACCCCTAGCAAGATACACAGCATTATCATCACCCCAGAAGTTCCTCTTGTTCATTTCAGATCAATCACTGCTCCTGTCCCCTCAGAGGCTGGCTATAACATACACACACACACACACACACATACATATATACATATACATATATATATATACACATATATGTGTTAGCTTTCTTGTTTTAACCTAGTCAGTTTTTAGGATTGCCTCCTCAAGGAACCATTTTTTATTTTCCAATTTTGATTTTTTAAAATTTTTTAAAATTTATTTGACAGAGAGAGTTAGATAGTGAGAGGGAGAGACAGAGAAAGGTCTTCCTTCCATTGGTTCACCCCCCAAATGGCTGCTATGGCTGGTGCTGTGCTGATCCGAAGCCAGGAGCCAGGTGCTTCCTCCTGGTCTCCCATGCGGGTGCAGGAGCCCAAGCACTTGGGCCATCTCCACTGCCCTCCCGGGCCACAACAGAGAGCTGGACTGCAAGAGGAGCAACTGGGACTAGAACCCGGCGCCCATATGGGATGCCGGCACCGCAAGGTGGAGGATTAACCAAGTGAGCCACGGCGCTGGCTCCCCAATTTTGATTTCGATATTCCCCCTCTGTACTCCCACAGCCCAACCTATGGCTTCACTGAGTTTAGCATAAGGGAAAAGCCCTTTTAGCACCCATCACAAAGTATGTAAGTGATGGTTTTTATTGTTTGACTCCTGCTGAACTACAGGTCATTTATAGCTGGACTGGTATCTTAACTGCTACTCTCAATGCAGAATATTCAGAGAAAGTTTGTAGATGTAAACTAAATTGATTGCAAAGGTTAGAAGATTTAGTTAAGAGTGTGATAGTCAAATTGGTAGAACAGGAACAATGTTTCAGCTACAACATTTTGAATAGCTCATCATTAGTTTTTTTTGAGTGTATCCTGTGTTCCTGGAAAAGTGACAGATTGAGGAGTTTTATGCACAGATACATCCAAGATAGAAGCACGTGGTGAATGATGGCCGCTGTCTCAGATTTTCTAAATAAATAACTGGGAGAGCATGTGTTAATTTTGCTAGTATTTTAAAAATCACTGATTTGTGCTGTTTCTTGCTCTCATACTTTTTTTCTTCTCCCTCCCTCTTCTCCCTCCCTTCTTCTCTCTCTCTTTTCTCTCTCTCTCTTTGATAACCCATCTTAACCTGGCAGTACCTTTGGCCTGGTCGATTCCGATGGACCTTGCTATGCAGTGATGGTTTACAATATGGTCCAGAGCTGGGGAGTGCTCATTGGGGACTCTGTAGCCATTCCTGAGCCCAACCTTCGTCTTCATCAAATTCGGCACAAGGGAAAGGTGAGCGCGATGGGTAGGATTCCTTTCTAACTCATAGCCTCTGAAAGTAGAACTAAGCTTATGTCTTCTTAAAAAATAAGTATAAAAATAATGCATATGTGTGTATGCAATATGTATATTTATCATTTTTGGATAAAAGGGAAACTTAGCAAGCAAAAAATGTTTAAATTGACTGACGTACCAACAGATGACACTACAGTTAACAGTTTGCTATATACACCTCCTTTTTTTCCTTTTAGTAGATAGTATGCACACATATTCACATGTATATTTTAAATCCTAAGTAGGATATTATCTGCAAATGTTTGTGCACATTTCCCATATTCTACCATGTTATTCCAAATTGACACATAGTGATGGTGACAAGGATGGTAATGGTAGTTAACATTTATTGAATACTTACCTGAGTGCGAGACACTGTGCCAAGAGTTTGAATCGCCTCATTGAATCCTTACAAAAACCTATGAGAATAGGTATTATAGTACTTTTTAATCCATTTAGATCCGGGCCTGGCAAATTATGGTCCATTGACCAAATTTGGCTCACTGCTTGTTTTCACTTAGCTGTGAGCTAAAAGCATCTTCTGTATTTTTAAATGAAAAAAATTAAAAGAAGTATAATAATTTGTGATACATGAAAATTACAGATAATTCAAACTTTTAGTGTCCATAAGTAAAACTTTATTGGAAAAAATTAAAAAAACTCATTTGTTTACTGTCATGGGTAGCTGCTTTAGTGCCACAGTGCCAGAGGTGAATTGTTCTGGGACGAAGGCAAAGCTGAAAATATTTACTATCTGACCCTTCACAGAAAAAGTTTGATGACACAAGATCATTGCCAATATCCCCCTTTAACAACAGTCATAGAGAACATTTCCATCTCCTCTCCTGTGTCCATGACTATTTCCTTAAATGGGTTTCTGATGTGGATCATAGGTGCAGAGGGAATGGAATCTCAGACTTCTGATACACCTTGCCGGAGCATCCTCAGGAGGGTTGTGCCCCTTCGCTGTTACTATTAACAGTGGGTGTGACTGCTTCCCTGTAGCTTTCCTCTCAACTCCGATTACAAGCTTTTGAAAAATTATTTGAAGATTTTACATGAAAAAATGACTTCAATACGTGTGTGTATTTTAAAGATTTATTTTTTATTTATTAGAAAGGCAGAGTTACAGAGAGGAGGAGACACAGAGTGAGAGAAAGATCTTCCATCCACTCGTTCACTTCCCAAATGGCTGTAATGACTCAGGAGCCTGGAGCTTCTTCAGGGTCTCCTACATGGGTGCAGGGACCCACGGTCTTGGGCTGTCTTCCACTTCTTTTCCAAGTGTCCTAGCATGGAGTTGGATCAGAAGTGGAGCAGCTGGGTCTTGAATGTAGGATGCTGGCATATAGGCAGAGGCTTAACCTGGTAGGCAACAGTGCCGGCCCCCTCAATACAGTTTTAATTTAGTTTTTGATTGTTGGTGAAGTTGAGCATTTTGTTGTATGTTTATTGACTGTATTTTTTCTATACAATGCCATTTTGGGTTACTTGCCCATACTCCTTTTAGGATTTTCTTTTAAAGATTTATTTATTATTTGAAAGGCGAAGCAACAGAAAGAGGGAGAGACAGAGAGATCTTCCATCTACTGGTTAACTCCCAAATGGCTGCAACAAGCTAGGAGCCTGGAACTCCAGTCAGGTCTCCCATATGGGTACCAGGGGCCCAAGTACTTGGGCCATCTCCCACTGCTTTCCTAGGTACGTTGGCAGAGAGCTGGATCTGAAATGGAGCAGTCAGCACTTGAACCAGCCCTACAGTGTGGGATGGCAGCCTCACAAGCAGTGTCTTAATTAATCATTGTGCCGCAGGGCTGGCCTCCCTATTAGGATTTTAAAAAACTGATTTATGAGCACTTTTTTTAAAGGTTGAATTCGTATTAAATTTTTTTTTAATTGTTGATTCATGAAAACACTTTACTTTGACTTAAGGAGTCTACTTTACACTCCTATGGAATAATATTTTTTGGATGAAGGTTTTTATCTTTTTAAAAAAGATTTATTTATTTATTTGAAAGAGTTACAGAGAGAGGACACACACGCACACACACACACACAGATTCCGTCTGCTGGTTTGCTCCTCAGATGGCTGTGACAACCAGGGCTGAGCCGGGCTGAAGCCAGGAGCTTCATCTGGGTCTCCCACATGTGTAGCAGGGACCCAAGTACTTGAACCATTCTCCGCTGCTTTCCCCAGGGCATTAGCTGGGAGCTGGATCAGAAGTGCAGCAGCCAGGACATGAACCAGTACCCATATGGGGATGCTGGCATCATGGATGGTGGCTTTTTCTGCTGTGCCACAACAGTAGCCCTGGTGAAGTCCATTTTTAACAACATATTTTAGAACTTAAAATATATCTGAGGGGCCGGCCCTGTGGCATAGCGGGTAAAGCCACTGCCTTCGGTGCTGGCATCCCATATGGGCACCAGTTTGAGACCCAGCTGCTCCACTTCCGATCCAGCTCTCTGCTATGGCCTGGGAAAGCAGTAGAAGATGGCCCAAGTACTTGCACCGGCATAGGAGACCTGGAGGAAACTCTTGGCTCCTGGATTCGGATTGGCGCAGCTCTGGCCGTTGCGGCCATCTGGGGAGTGGACCAGCGGATGGGATACCTCTCTCTCTCTTTCTCTCTCTCCCTCTCTCTCTGCCTCTCCTCTCTCTGTGTAACTGTGACTTTCAAGTAAAATAAATAACTCTTTAAAAAAAATGCATCTGAACTGGTGAAGTGAGTAGATATCTTTTCTGTTGGTAGGAAAATGTCACTATTTTGCTTATATATTCTGTTTCTTTCCTCTTGATATAAAAGGGAAAAGTAACTTTAATTCATGGCCAATTAGTTTAGGGCTTTAGAAGCACTTGTACTAAGAGTTTCTCAGAACGTACACTGGCTTTGACTGGCTGCTTGGTATATCCAGTTAATTATCAAGAAGCACTGGGAGAAGGCAGATGGTTTGATAGCTGGTAACATCCTTTTGTTAAGCAACGCCAGGCATGTGCCTTTGTTCAGCCAGAGAGCTGGCTCGTTCTTGTAGTGACACAGCTGGTGCCCTGCCTGCCCCAGATTTTCCTCCTGTAGACTGAAGACCTTGATAAAATACCATCCCCTCTGGGGCCACTTTTGTCTAACGTGAGTTGGAGGTAAGGGTGCTTACACTGTGGCAGAGGAGAAAGATGCAGGTGGTGTCTCCCAGTGTTGGAGTTTGTCTGTTGTAGGATCTGTAGTGAGCCTGTGTCTGCCTGTCTTTTCCAGGACTATTCCTTTTCCAGCGTCCGTGTGGAGACCCCCCTCCTGCTGGTGGTGAACGGCAAGCCTCAGGGCTCCAGCAGCCAGGCTGCTGCCACAGTGGCATCGCGGCCGCAGTGTGAGTGAGCTTCCCTGACTGGCATGCTAAAGAGGATGCTGACCGAGGAGCCCGCTCCAGGCGTGCGCAGCCGGACCATCTGAGACCCCGCCAGGGTGGGGGACATGTTTCAAACGAAAACTTTGCCCTCCTCTGTCCTGTAAGGCACGCTGCGTCTGGTCTGTCTCCTGTCATCATGTTTGAACCTTCTCCAGGGCTACGCACTCCCCTGGTGTATCTCTCCGGCCTCCTTCCCTGCTCTCTTTGTCTTAGGCAAAGAGCACGGAATTGGTAGAAGTGTTGGGAACCTGCCGTGGGACAGAAACCCCAAGGTTTCTGTTCTTGCCTCCTTCCTGAGCCTCATATGTATATATCAGTTCAGTATTTATTGCTAAGGGAGGGGCTTAATTTTTAATGGCTTGGTTTTTGAGCATTTTTTATGTTTAAAGTTTAGGTCCATTCCCTTCTTTGGGGCTGGAACAGAATTAAATTTGTTTGGAAATAAAGAAACCCTGTGGTTTGACCCGCTTCATTTTTTCCAGTCTTGGATTTTTAAAGAATCACTTTCATTCATTCAGTAGGGTAATTCTGCCCCCTCCTCCCCTGGCTGCTTATAGTTTATTTCTCTCCCAGTTAAAAGACTTCTGGCAGTACACAGCCCAGGGCAGGAGTGGCAGCTTTACAAAGTTGCTGAATCTCCCTTTATTTCCTCCCATTTTTCCATTCTGTCATCCCTAGCATGGTCCAATATGATAGAGCAATATTATGTGAAAGTGTTAGTAGGCTGAGATCAGAGAAAGAAAGATACTCGTTTCTTTAGATTCTAATGATATATTTTATAACAATTTCTCTTATCCCTATGGATAAAATGGGGAAATGTGAGTGAGAATTAGTAACTAGTTGACTGACTTGTACACTGATGTATACAGATGAGTCTGGAAGACTTCTAGTGATATAGCTCAGGTCTTTGTCCTTGGTCCAGTTCTGTTCCATGCCTGAATGGAATGACTTGAATATTACTGATGATATTTATAAAGAATGTAAAACATAGAGGATTCCTAAGAGAACGGATGATAGGACAAATGTCTAGCTATCTTGTCTAAACCAGTGTAAGGGCTGAATCTATCAAGACAAAATTTTGAAGTCCTTACTTTTGTTCTCCAAAGACTTTCTGAGTTGTATGTTCAACGTCATATATGAAAATTGTTAGGAATTTTAATAGATGAAGTCAGTATGAGTAGTGTGATATAGTTGTTAAAAAACTCTTCTTGGACAGCACCAAGGAACCTCTCTGTGATAGATAGCCGGAGAGAGTTTTTCATACTGTCTGACCGATCACATGTATAGTCTTGGATTCAGTTTCTGGTGTTGATTTTGAGGCCTTCAGTCATAGAAGAATGTTCAGGAGCTTTTGGGGGGATACCAAAATCTTAAGGAATAGCTGAAAGCACTGGGGTACGGTTGTGAGTGAGCATTAAAGGCAACAAGGAGATGAGACCCAGTAACTGGCCCCCTTTTACTCAAGTCTTGAGATGATTTGGCATCTTCTGTGCAGAGCCAGAATTGAAAAATGAGCAGTAGGTGGTAATGAGAGAGAAGCATTATATAAAAACAAGTAAGTATGCAAGATGTTTATATATGCTTTAAAGAATAGTTTGAATACTTATAGAATACCCACCTGCCTTAAAACCTGATACCTTGGAAGCCTTTTTGTGCCTCTCCATGACCTCATCTCAATTTGCTTTCACAGCTATATAATACCTCGTTGTATGATTATATCTCAACTCATTCATCCTATGTTGAATGGATATTTGGATTTCCAATTTATTGTTTGCCATAAAACCACTGATTTTTGTGCATGTCCTGGTATATAAGTACAGAAGTCTTGTTTATAGCTGTGATACTTAGAGTGGTCCCCAGACCCACAGCATCAGCTTACCTTGCAGCTTCCTAGAGATGCAGATTCTCAGGTCCCTGTCCAGATTTACTGAACCCAAAGTTCTGGGGAAGAGCCCAGCAGTGTGTGTTCAGCACACCTTCCGGCAAACTTGATGGATGCTAATGTTTGAGAACAACTGTTTCAGACTATTCTCACAAGAATGGATTGGCTGGATCATAAAGTATATACATGTTTGATGTTTTTGAGAAATACCAAATATTTCTAAAGTGCTTGTACCAATCTTTGCCTCTGGTATCAATGGATGAGCCTCCGTAAGAATCTGTGTCATCTTCTAAGCTTAGTGTTGTTGAGCCTTTTGGGTATTGCAAATAGAGGGGTTTGAATGAGCCACTGATATTTTCTCTTGGCAAAATGCTTATTCATGTTTTGTTCACTTCTGTATTAGATTTCAAATTGATTTGGGCCGTCTGTATTTCCCCATACTAATGTGTTGTCAGTTTATGCGCTGCAAATATCTGATCATTTTTAGCTTCTCTATTCACTCTATTAGATCTTTTTTTAAAAAATTGTATTTATTTATTAGAAAGGTAGATTGACAGAAGGGGAGAGACAGAGAAGAAATCTTCCATCTGCTGGTTCACTCCCCAAATTCCTGCCACAACTGGGACTGGGCCAGGCTGAAGCCAGGAACTGGAATTCCATGCAGGTCTTCCAGGTGGATGACTGAGTCTCGAGTACCTGAGCCATCATCTGCCTCCTCCAGGGGCATCAGCTGGAAGCTGCATCAGGAGCAGAAGTGGGACTTGATTCTAGATCTCTGATGTGGGGTGCAAGCATCCCAAGAAGTGGCACTGTAGCACCTGCCCCATTAGGTCTCCTGAACAGAAGTTCCTAATTTCAATGTAATTGAATTTATCCATCTTTTATGGCTATGCTGCTTGTATTTAATAAGTCTTTCTCGCCTGACGCCGCGGCTCACTAGGCTAATCCTCCGCCTTGCGGCGCTGGCACACCGGGTTCTAGTCTTGGTTGGGGCACCGGATTCTGTCCCGGTTGCCCCTCTTCCAGGCCAGCTCTCTGCTGTGGCCCGGGAGTGCAGTGTAGGATGGCCCAAGTGCTTGGGCCCTGCACCCCATGGGAGACCAGGAGAAGCACCTGGCTCCTGCCTTTGGATCAGCGCGGTGTGCTGGCTGCAGAGCGCCGGCCGCGGTGGCCATTGGAGGGTGAACCACTGGCAAAGGAAGACCTTTTTCTCTGTCTCTCTCACTGTCCACTCTGCCTGTCAAAAAAAAAAAAATAAAAAATAAAAAAAAGTCTTTCTCTATCCTGAAATCATAAGCACATTACCCCTCTACTGTTTTTGTTTTTAAAATTCTTTTATATTTAGTCTGTCATTTTATTTGAAAGACAGTTAGAGATCTTCCATATGCTGATTCACTCCCCATGTGCCCACAACAGCCAGGGCTGAGCCATATTGAAACCAGGAGTCTACAGCTCAAAGCAGGTCTTCCACCTGGATGGCAGGGACACAGGTACTTCCATCATCTGCTGCCTCCCAGAGTGCACATCAGCGGGAAGCCAGATCGGAAGTAGAGGAGCAGACATTCCAATATGGAATACTGGCATCCCAGTGTTGTCTTAACTGCACCAAGAGCCTGCCCCCTCTGTTGTTTCATGCAGTTTTATCATTTTGTTCCTTTCTTTGTTGTGATGTAGGTATGTAGTTTTTTTTCCCCAACTGAGTAACTGATTGGCCCAGCACGTTTTATTAAAGATGCCACCCTTTTTTCTACCAAACGTTCAAGTCCGGTCAGACTTAAACCAATTTTCCATATATACAGCGGCACTTCAAAAAGTTCATGAGACATGTAATTAAAAGATAAACTTATTTTGGTGCAAAACACTTTGAAATTCATATATAGTTTTTTCATAATACATATTTTCCATGAACTTTTTGAAGATTCCTTATTTTGATCTGTTTGAGCTCTCTGTTCTGATTTCTTTTTATTTTTTTCAATACCACATTGTCTAATGGTTTTGGAAGAAGTTAGTAACTAATCAGTTCTTTCATGTTGTTCTTCACAAGTGTTTCACATATATTTTAAAATCAGCTTGTAAATGTTCATGAGAAATTCCCCTGGGATTTTCTTTTGTGGAAGGTAGAAAGATAGAGATACCTCTCATCCACTGGCTCACCCCCACGAGCCTACAACAGCCTTGGCTGGATCAGACCAAAGCCAGGAGCCTGAAACTCAGTTCAGGTCTTCCACGTGGGTGGCAGGAACCCAGCTACAGTATGAGCCGTCACCCACTGCCTCCCAGGGTACACATTAGCAGGAAGCTGGAATTGTGACCTTTGCTGGAACTTGAACCTAGGTGCTCTGATATCAGAAGCAGGCATTCCAAGTGGCACATTAAATGCTGCACCAAATGCTTGACCTTTCTTCTGGGATTTTGATTGGTATTGCACTGATTTGTGGATAAATTTGGAAGATTAGACATCTTAATAAAATCTTGTTACACATGATTTTCTTCATTTATTTAGGCCTCTTTAATGTCTTTCAATATAAATGTATCCTTTGCTCAGATTGGTCTTATATGTATTTAATTTGATTTATTCCAAACTATTTTATAGTTTTTGCTGCTATTGTGTGTAACATGCTGGAGAATAGAAATACAGATGGTTCTTTTATGTTTTTTTTTTTTTATAGCAATGACCTTTAAGAACTCTTTCACTATAATAATTTGTCTGTTGATTCCTTAGAATTTTCTATGTACAGATAATGACTTTAGTTTCTTCTTTCTTAATCCTCTTACCCTTTATTTCATTTTTTCCTCCCTGTACTGTTGGAATATCTAGTATGCTCAGTAGACAAGGTGATAACAGACGTCCTTGTCTTATTCCTGTACGTAAAGAAGTACTTTCAACATTTCATCATTAAATAAGATGTTTTTTCATGCACCTGCTCTTAGATTCTGAGTTTGAGTTTCTATAAAAAATTTAAGATTTTTTCTAATTTACCTAATTGTATATAATGCTTTTTCTGAAGTTATTGAAATGGCAAATAATTGTTTCTTCCTTAATCTGTTTAAGTGATGAATTAAAGTACTCAACTTTTAATCAATAAACCAAACTGCATTCTTTGTACAAACCTACTTGTTCAGGATATTTATTTATACATATATTGTATATATATATATATTTTAAGATTTATTTATTTGAAAGAGCTACAGAGAGAGACAGAGAGAGAGAGAGAGAGGGAGGGAGAGACACACAGAGAGATCTTCTATTCATTGGTTCTCTCCTCAAATGGCCACAATGGCAGGGGCTGAGCCAGGCCAAAGCCAGGAGTCACTAGCTTCATCCAGGTCTTCCCCATAGGTGTGGGGGCCCAAGCCCTTAGGCCATCTTCCACTGTTTTCCTGAGGCCATTAGCAGGTAAGTGGGGCAACTGGGACATGAACCATTGCCCATATGGGATGCTGGTGTTGCAGGTTGCGGCTTTACCCACTACACCACAATGGCAGCACCTATACATATATTTTATACATCGTTCAATATATGTGAGTAATATTTGGGATTTTGTATCTGTGGGTCACATGTGATATTAGTTTATGAGCTTATTAATTTCTTAATTTAGTCTTGTTTTGGTATCAAAGTTATGCTTGTCTTAGGTGATGAGTAAAGAGTGTTTCCTCTGTGTTTGAGAAGTATTTTCTTTACAGATTGTTGATTGAAATTCTTTTAAACATGTTTATTTTCATCTATTTGGGAGGACAGAGAGAGAGAGAGAGAGAGAGAGAGAATGTATTCATTGGTTCACTCCCCAAATGTGCCTGCAACAGTTAGGGCTGGGTCAAGTTGAAGCCAAGAACCCGGAACTCCATCTGAATCTCCCAAATGGGTGGCAGGGGACCAAGTAGTTGCCACCATCCACTCCTTTTCTTCCTTCCTTCCTTCCTTCCTTCCTTCCTTCCTTCCTTCCTTCCTTCCTTCCTTCCTTCCTTCCTTCCTTCCTTCCTTTTCTTTCTTTTCTTTCTTTTCTTTCTTTTCTTTCTTTCCTTTCTTTCCTTTCTTTCCTTTCTTTCCTTTCTTTCCTTTCTTTCCTTTCTTTCCTTTCTTTCCTTTCTTTCCTTTCTTTCCTTTCTTTCCTTTCTTTCCTTTCTTTCCTTTCTTTCCTTTCTTTCCTTTCTTTCCTTTCTTTCCTTTCTTTCCTTTCTTTTCTTTCTTTTCTTTCTTTCCTTTCTTTTCTTTCTTTTCTTTCTTTCTACAGGCAGAGTTAGACAGTGAGAGAGACAGAGAGAAAGGTCTTCCTTCTGTTGGTTCACCCCCCACATGGCTGCTACAGCAGGTGCGCTGCACAGATCCGAAGCCAGGAGCCAGGTGCTTCTCTTAGTCTCCCATGCCGGTGCAGGGCCCAAGCACTTGGGCCATCCTCCACTGCACTCCCGGGCCACAGCAGAGAGCTGGCCTGGAAGAGGGGCAACCGGGACAGAATCTGGCGCCCCAACTAGGACTAGAACCTGGAGTGCGGGTGCCGCAGGCGGAGATTAGTGAGCCGCAGTGCCGGCCCATTTTCACTTCTATCAACTGCTAAAACTGCCTTTTTCTTCTTGAACTTATAAAAAAATATGCTACTTCATTATTTTTAAATTACTTGTTTAAACCTCTGAGCATCTTTTTAATGAAATACTTGTTAGCTACTTTTGAATGTAATGTGAAACATGAGAGAGGGCATCCAAGACTTCAGGCTATTAAAGAAACAAAATCTTAGGGAGAAACATGTGTAGGAAATGGTACAGTACCTTGCAAATTCTATAGAGTGTATAATATTATAAATCCTTTATTATGTAATTTGAACTCCTTAAAGACAGAAACTAATTCTTCCTTTGAGTTCTAGACATTGTCATATACATCAGTGAGTGTTAGATATTGCCTTCCTGACTTACTAACAAATGGTTGGCTGGATGGATAGATTGTAAATCTGGGAAACAGGATTCATGAAATTAATTTAAGGGATATTTATATCTTGCAGAAGAAAAATAGAAGACTTCTATGGGAACAGCACAAATACCCTTTTTAAAATTAGATTTGTTTCTTTATTTGAGAGGAGGAGAGAGAGCGAGATCCTCTGCCTCTTAAAATGCCTGCAACAGCAAGGGTGTGGGGGGGAGGGGACTGAAGCTAAAACTCCTTTCCCCCACCTTTGTCACTTGAGCTGCACCTTTGTCACTGCTGCCTCCCACATGGGAAACCCAGATGGAATTCCTGGCTCTTGGCTTCAGTCTGTCCCAGCCCTGGCTGTGGCAGGCATTTGGAGAGTGAGCTAGTAGGTGGAAGATCTCTTAATCTTTCCCCCTTTCTCTGTTGATCTGCCTTTTAAATAAAATCGATCAATCAACCAATCAACCAGTCTGGAGAAAGGAAGATTTCAATTATAGGGAAACTAAATAGGAGATCATTAAAGTAGGCACCAGATGCTGAACTATTTATTATTTTTTAAATTTATTTTTTAATGAATACTAATTTCTTAAGTACAACTTTGTGGGGAGCAACTCGGACTAGACTGTTACTGGAATTAAGACTTATTCTATGCATCTGCTCTCCCACAATATGGCGCTGAGAAGGGAGTAACAACTTCTACGCAGCTGCCTCTCGCCAACTTGAGTGATGACCTGCAGGAGCTGATCCTGCTCCTGATTGGAGGAGAGCAGCGTACTCGGCGTGTGGGTAGCAGAGTTGGGATTGGTGGAAGAGGACTATAAAGGAGGAGAGAGACAACATGCACAGGGAACATCTATCTGAAGGAACACCTGAGCAGCCCCCGAGAGAGCCGGCCGGCGGTGTGCCGCTCCCCCGTGGAAGTGGGGAAAGTGGCAGGGGGAACCGCCCTTCCACGGAGGTGGAAGGGATGGTATCCAACCCGGGAAGAACCAGCAGCAAACCCGGGGAGGGCCGAGCAGACAAAAGAACAGCGCAGGGTCCTGTGTCGTTCCTCCGTGAAGAGGGGGAGCGACATAATGGTGCCGTGACTCGGATATGAAGCCTAGGCAGGGTTTAGTGTCGTTCCTCCGCGAAGAGGGGGAGCGACACAACTTTAGGAATATAATTATTCTTCCCACCATACCCACCCTCACACTCCTACTCCCACCCCTTCTCTTCCTCCCTCTCCCTTTCCCAGTACCATTCTCCATTGAGATTCATTTTCAGTTAACTTTGTACACAGAAGACCAACTCTATACTAAGTAAAGATTTCAACAATTTGCACACACACATACACACAAACTGAGAACTAGTTTTACAGTTAACTCACACAATTCATTGAGGACAGAGGTCCTCATGGGGAGTCAGTGCACAGTGACTCCTGTGTTAATTTAACAATTAACACTTTTATGTATGATGTCAGTGACCACCCGAGGCTCTTGACATGAGCTGCCTAGGCTGTGGAAGCCTTTTGA